TATAAATTTTTTTTATACCACATGCAATGTAATGTGATTTTGTGAATAATAATATTTTATTCATAACACTGTGCTACAAACATGGATACACCATCAGAGAAAGAGGTCCTATATCTCCCCCAAACATACTCGTATATATGTATATCCCCCTCCTACTCCTCTTTCGGTGCTTGGTAGCGAGTATATCCCCCTATTGATACTGATATACTTGCCAGGGATGGTTGACGAGCCTTGCTTCAGAGAAATGTGGCATATTCCAGTAACTGCCGCTCAGAACTTTATACAGTATATCACTGGGAGGTTTTCTTTGCGCTCAAGTGCACTCCTTGCCACTGAAGTACGTGGCTTAGCACTGAAGTACGTGACTTAGCACTGAAGTACGTGGCTTAGCACTGAAGTACGTGGCTTAGCACTGAAGTACGTGGCTTTGCACTGGATTTACATTGAACTACACAATTGTAGTTCAATGTACAACTATGTACAACTATATCGTGTACCGTGAACTACGTGGCTTTGCACTGTACCAGGTTGTAGAGCGCTTCCCCATGTTGCATTATGGCAACCAATAACTGATACGATCGCTGGCTTGTTACCAAAGGCAGTAGAGCAATTAGTCAGCCGTATCAGGCAATTCGTGTCACAGGCGATGGTGCTGTTTGCACTTCATTCCCATTCCTGAAAATACGTACAGAGGGTCTCAGTTCCTATTCCTATTTTCTTTTACGAGTTTCTAACTTTCATTTCTGTTCCAGGCTATTAGTTTCAGCTTTATGTTGTGTACTCACCTAGTTGTGCTTGTGGGGGTTGAGCTCTGCTCTTTCGGCCCGCCTCTCAACGGTCAATCAATCAACTGTTACTAGCTAATTTTTTTCACACACACATCCCCAGGAAGCAGCCCGTAGCAAGTGTGTGTGTGTGTACTCACCTAATTGTGCTTGCGGGTGTTGAGCTTTGGCTCTTTGGTTCCGCCTCTCAACTGTCAATCAAATGGTGTACAGATTCCTGAGCCTACTGGGCTCTATCATATCTACATTTGAAACTGTGTATGGAGTCAGCCTCAACCACATCACTTTCTAATGCATTCCACTTGTCAACCACTCTTGATTTTGTGTGTGTGTGTGTGTGTGTGTGTGTGTGTGTGTGTGTGTGTGTGTGTGTGTGTGTGTGTGTGTGTGTGTGTGTGTGTGTGTGTGTGTGTGTGTGATACTTTTCTCTCTCTCTCTCTCTCTCTCTCTCTCTCTGGGGGCCAGCACCAGGGCCTCTCTGATCCAGAACTGATCAGGTCATCTGGTTATATAGCCTACCATTTACAATATCACTTTCTCAGTTTTGCTAACAAAATCCCTTTTCTTTGTGCCAGATTTAAACTTCTCGTTTCCATGATCTCTATTTGATTTACAATTCGCAGTTTTTCATCGAACAGTTTGCAAATCGAATGGCAAATTTTGGAAGTCAATCGACACACTTATCATCTACAAATACTTTTTGACAATTATCAGCACTACAAGGGGGAAGCCGCAGGCACAAATGGGTAGCCACAAATGCATACATTAGGCAGTGATGTGGTGGAGGCTGACTCCATACACTGTTTTAAATGTAGATATGACAGAGCCCAGTAGGCTCAGGAATATATACATCAGTTGATTGACGGTTGAGAGGCGGGACCAAAGAGCCTGAGCTCAACCCCCCGCAAGCACAATAAGGTACAAACACTAGTGGGCAACCACAATCACCATGGGGTAGACAAAGGAGCAAAGCACTTGCAAATGCAGGATGAGTCCCTCAATGGCTGGCTATACTCATGCTGATTCATCATCTTGGAGATCATTAGCAGCTTGAGTGTGTTATCTGAATTAGTTTATGTCTATATAGTGAATCATTAAGGACGTGGCGCACGCTTTGGTTACCTAAGTGGCCTCGTTGTAAACACTATGAAGATATCTTGAGTCGAACTATGATGGAAGGTGTGTACTCCTCTAATTGTGCTTGCGGAGGTTCAGTTCTGGCTCTTTGGTCCCGCCTCTCAACCGTCAATCAACAGGTGTACAGGTTCCTGAGTCTATTGGGCTCTATCATATCTACACTTGAAACTGTATATGGAGTCAGCCTCCACCACATCACTGCCTAATGCTTTCCATTTCTCAACCACTCTGACACTAAAAAAGTTCTTTTAACTATGTGTGTGTGTGTGTGTGTGTGTGTGTGTGTGTGTGTGTGTGTGTGTGTGTGTGTGTGTGTGTGTGTGTGTGTGTGTGTGTGTGTACTCACCTAGTTGTACTCACCTAGTTGTGCTTGCGGGGGTTGAGCTCTGGCTCTTTGGTCCCGCCTCTCAACTGTCAATCAACAGGTGTACAGGTTCCTGAGCCTGTGTGTGTGTGTGTGTGTGTGTGTGTGTGTGTGTGTGTGTGTGTGTGTGTGTGTGTGTGTGTGTGTGTGTGTGTGTGTTTCAAAGCTTAGCCACTTCAGGTGTTCAATAATTCTCAACCTAATTACCTGTTCCAGCACTTTACACTAAATACCTGTCAACAATATTATGGCAAACGCCGCCAGAAGCCCTTCCTAACCAGACCCCTGATTTAATAAACATTAATGAAATATAAATATTCACGAAAAAATCAACAGAAAAACAGGATATTTATTTCGATACCTCGTATATTTAAATAACTATTTATCTTATACATCAAATGAAAAAATATAACATCCAATACATATGTTGATAAGGACTAATGGTGCGTCAATACCAATCTATTAAAAAAAAGAATTGTGTTTACAGCTGAATCTTCTGGCGATAATTACATAAATATATCATTGGCAATATATTATGATGTCGCAGTATACAATTGCTGTAATATATCGTAGTATACAACTGCTATATCACAGTAAAAAAATCATATAAACTATATTATACAGGCGATGAGTCACAATAACGTGGCTGAAGTATGTTGACCAAACCACACACTAGAATGTGAAGGGACGATGATATCTCGGTCCGTCCTGGACCATTCTCAAGTCGATTGGTACAGGTGACTGGACCGAGAATGGTCCAGGATGGACCGAAACGTAGTCGTCCCTTCACTTTCTAGTGTGTGGTCTGGTCAACAACTATATTATTTTGCATTTCACCTTGACAAAAATAACTCATGTTACATTTGGTTGCCTCAGTTTAGCCTGCATATTTCTCTATCATTCCTTTGTTAACTTCTACTTTATCGAGTGTCTCTCTCCTCACATCTGAGCGAGGAAGGGATCTGTAGCATCGCAAAATTCCTCTCTAAACGCCAATATGTCTCCCCAAAATATTTTCCGTCAAGTTTGATGGCAATATCGCAATGATGGCATTATTTATCAGAATAAATAATAAAAGAGAATCTTAAAGAATTTCTTAATTATTTTACAGCTGCTGCCATGTATCTAATTTTCTTTTCCCCCCAAAAGCAACTGAAAACCATGTTCCAGCACTTAGAATGAAAATGAAAAAGACGTCGCCAAAAAATGGAGGAGTAACACAAGGAACTTTTTAGGAACTTGAAGAAAGCTGCCATTTTATCCAACGACAAACACACACACACACACAATGGGTTTTTCAACATACCTGTATTTCAGATTGTGTGCGGTACGAGGGCTGGCCGCGGGCTCCCACTGGCGCTCACAATAGCAACAAAGAGTGAAGGGATGACCGAGCCCAAGCTCACAGATTTATATATATGACAGCAGGCCATAACTGACACACGCTAACACACACACACACACACACCCACACACACACACACACACACCGACACACACACACCGACACACACACACCGACACACACACACCGACACACACACCACACACACACACACACACACACACACACACACACACACACACACACACACACACACACACACACACACACCGACACACACACCACACACACACACACACACACACACACACACACACACACACACACACACACACACACACATACACACACACCACACACACACACACACACAGAGCTGGGGGGCCTTTAGTAGGAGAAGCCTCGCGGTTGAATGGACAGCGCTCGGGGGAGGGTCGTAGTTCGAATGGCCCAGGTTCAATTCCCGGCGAAGGCGGAAACAAATGGGTAGAGTTTCTTTCACCCTGATGCCACTGTTCACCCAGCAGTAAATAGGTACCTGGGAGGTAGACAGCTGCTACGGGCTGCTTCCTGGCGATGTGCGTGTGTATGTTTGCATGTATGTGTTAGAGAGAAATATATGAAGTAGACATAAGAGGAAAAATGGATTGACTAGCAAGGCGGGGTCCAAGAGCTAAATAGCTCGATTCTGCAGACACAGACAGTAAATACACGCACGCGCGGGCGCTCTGACAGCCAAATAGTGCTGATTATTGTACTTAGTGCCAAGTGCGCCTTTGTACTTAGTGCCAAGTGCACCTTTGGCCTGAGTCAGGCATAAAGAGATTTAAGGCTTTATGGTTAAAATTTGCTATACGTCAGGCCCTGTCGAATGCTGTTCCGGGACAGGCCCGACTCTCCTTGGTCTTGACGGCTCATTACAAGTACAGTGGACATGATCACGATCTATAACCATATTATGCACCATTTCTTACGGTTGCATGGTGATTATCATCATTGTTCACCATTCTTTCCAGTCCCATTCAAGATGGCCAGTTTCTTCACCATTCATTCTAGTCCCATTCAAGATGGCCAGTTTCTTCACCATTCATTGTAGTCCCATTCAAGGTGGCCAGTTTCTTCACCATTCATTGTAGTCCCATTCAAGATGGCCAGTTTCTTCACCATTCATTGTAATCCCATTCAAGGTGGCCAGTTTCTTCACCATTCATTGTAGTCCCATTCAAGGTGGCCAGTTTCTTCACCATTCATTGTAGTCCCATTCAAGATGGCCAGCTTCTTCACCATTCATTGTAGTCCCATTCAAATGATGCCCATCCTCACCATTCCTTACTGCCCCCATGTTAACCATATACACCATTCGTTACAGCCCCATGATGGTGATGAGCAAGCATGAGTTGGTGCCCTACGCTGATGGCACCATGGTGACTGGTTGCTTCACGGAGCTCACGTCCTTCTGGGCCTGCCTCTACATCAACCTGGTGACGGCTATCTTCTTCTTCGTGCCTCTCCTGCTCCTCATCCTCCTGTACCTGGTGATCGGCAGGAGTCTCATGCGGGACTCTGCCTCGGCCGCCCTCCAGCACCGGAAAGTCGACCTGCCCAACATGAAGGCTCGGAGACAGGTCAGGGAGGCTTGGGTACTCGAGGCATGTTCTAATGAGGGCTGGGCGGGTGTAGGGAGCTCGGGCTGTCGACAGTCTGCCCGGGACCAGTTCTTCAAATGGCTGTCGACAGCCTGACCGGTCCCAGTGTTTCAAATGGCTGTCGACAGCCTGCCCGGTACCAGTTCTTCAAATGGCTGTCGACAGCCTGCCCGGTACCAGCGCTTCAAATGGCTGTCGACAGTCTGCCCGGTCCCAGTGCTTCAAATGGCTGTCGACAGCCTGCCCGGTACCAGTGTTTCAAATGGCTGTCGACAGCCTGCCCGGTACCAGTTCTTCAAGTGGTTGTCGACAGCCTGCCCGGTACCAGTGTTTCAAATGGCTGTCGACAGCCTGCCCGGTACCAGTGTTTCAAATGGCTGTCGACAGCCTGCCCGGTACCAGTTCTTCAAGTGGTTGTCGACAGCCTGCCCGGTACCAGTGTTTCAAATGACTGTCGACAGCCTGCCCGGTACCAGTTCTTCAAATGGCTGTCGACATAGTAGTATGTATTATACTAAATCGGCAGCCATTTGAGGCACTGGAACCGGTCAGAAGGGGAATTGAACAGTCCTTTGCAGGACTGAAGTCTTTTTTTTAGGTGAATTGAGCGATCCTCTTGAAGAAACGAAGTTGGGAGAAATTAACGACTCTTTGGGAGAACTGAACGATTTCTTATGAGACTTGACTTGGTGGAAAAAAAATTGGAATGTTTAAAATAATTAGAAATTTAACGAGTAGTGGGGAAATTGATTGACCTAAACCAGGTAGTTAATAGGAGTCAGCAGCAAGCAGAACGACACAAGCGTCGTCCCCCACAAGCCTGCAACCCGTTCTCGTACTTGCTTACTGTCAATATTGGCTTATTTAATAAGTGCATATGTGGCATACTAATTGATTGTGAATATTTTAATTTACCTTGAAAAGATTCATAGAAAACACCGACCTTACCTAACCTTCTTAGTATGTTAAGATAAGCATCTTATTGCTTCGTAATTACAATTATTACTTAACCTATACCGTTGATAGATATGATAGGTGGTGATAGGTTGATAGATCGTCGTCCCTTCCCTTTCTAGTGTGTGTAGTTTGGTCAACATATTCCAACCACGTTATTGTGACTCCTCGTCTGCATAGTATATTAGATTCACCGAAGCGTTGTCAGATAACAAAACAAGTCATTCAGCATGATCGTTAGGGCGAGAGCACTCTAGTGGAGAGTAGAAGCTTACGAGGCTGGAAACGAAGGCAAGAAAGTCTTTCATCAGAGTGTTCTAAAGGCGAGGAACCCAAGGCCTGTTACTACTATCCTGTTACCTAGCAGTAAAATAGGTACCTGGGTGTTAGTCAGCTGTCACGGGCTGCTTCCTGGGGGGTGGAGGCCTGGTCGAGGACCGGGCCGCGGGGACACTAAAAAGCCCCGAATCATCTCAAGATAACTCGTTCTGCAGGCACATATAGGGGAGTAGATATAAGTAAATATACAGCACACATACACAACAACACACACACACACACGACACACACACACACACACACGACTCATACACACACACACACACACACACACACACACACACACACACACACACACACACACACACACACACACACACACACACACACACACACACACACACACACACACACACACACACACACACACGACACACACACACACACACACACACACACACACACACACACACACGACACACACACACACACACACACACACACACACACACACACACACACACACACACACACGACACTAGGGGAAGGGGGGGCAACATAGGCCAGAAGAGAAACTTAAGAATGAAAGGGATTTACGACCTAAGAACGAGAGATTTACAACATAAAGGAGGAGGATTTATAGTGAATAGAGAGGATTTACCTACTCCCGTATAACTCCAGCTTAGTGAGTAAATAATAGAATTTCCAAGATAAATGACCGAATTTTTCAGTCCATTCGAAAATGAAGACTAAATACACGTCTCACAATTGTGAAAAAGGACCTAATTTACTCCTGATAATATTTACTAGACAAAGACTAACAGTGTCCCAAAAGCTATCAAAAAAAGGGGATTGGATCGCTCAAAAATGGAATAAATTATTTTACTTCTGCTAAGTGACTTCTATTAGTGTTTAACCCCAAGGAGCTGCTGTTCGAGTCTTAGGTGAGGCTTGGCCTTGTTATATTGTAATAATATTTGTCATGTTGTGGTTTAGTGGGTTAAGGCGCGCGTCTGGTAATCCCCAGAATGCTGGTTCGACGCCCCGCCCTGATCTTAATGATTTTTTTCAATAATAATAATATTCAATAATAATAATAATTACAATTTAATACTAATAATATATTGTATTAATAATATTTTTATTATCCGTTTCTCCATCTTCATCACTTTTTCCCCTCTTCTTATTACCTCTTTCATTTCCCCTTGTGTCCCTTTATCACTCCTTTGACTTTATTAAATATTTCCCCCCCCCTTCACCACACTTTGTTGACTTATTAACCTTATTCCCTCATTATTGCTGTTGAGCTTCACCATCATCTTCACCTTATCTGGTGTTGCAGGTGGTGGTGATGCTGGCTACTGTCACCATCTTCTTCTTCGTCAGTCTCCTTCCCTTCCGCGTCCTCACTCTCTGGATCGTTTGGACGCCCAAAGAGATTATCGAGACCGTGGGCGCCCTCCGCTACTACAGGTGCTGCTGTGGGTGGTGGGTGGTGGGTGTGGGTGTGGGCGTGTTAGCTTGTATGCAAGCGTGGGTGTAGCTGAGAGTATAGGTGGGTGGGGGATGGTGATGTGGGGTGTTGTACTGGTGAGTACGGGTGTGTGGGAGTCATTGGTGAGTACGAGATGAGTATGTTGGTGCACATGGGTGAGTATCATTCAGCAGTGAGGGTTTACAGCGAGGTGTGTGTGTGTGTGTGTGTGTGTGTGTGTGTGTGTGTGTGTGTGTGTGTGTGTGTGTGTGTGTGTGTGTGTGTGTGTGCTCTTAAAATTTTGATCGTGCAATATTGCATGTTTCCCCCTTGCTCGTCCCCTTTCCCCATTCAGAAAACACGCAATATACAACTATACTTCCTAAACATTTTGCTACCCATGCCGCTGTATCCCCTCCCACCACGTTATTCTCACGCTCATCATTTTCTGTGCCTCCCTCAGCATGCTGTACGCTGCCCGGGTGATGCTCTTCGCGAACTCAGCCGTCAACCCCATCCTCTATAACCTGACGTCCACCAAGTTCCGCGAGGCTTTCCTCAAGTTGCTCAGTAACCAGAGGCGTCAACGCTTCCTGAGTCGGCAGTCGACCTTCAACACCACCGGGAACTCCATGTCGAATGGTCGGAGCTCCTCGCGCACCATCCCTACTGACCTGGCGTCTCTCAAGGACGCTCATCCTGTTAGACTTACCCTCGCTAGGTGCGGCAGACACGCCTCCTTCGACGATTTCCCGATGCCGCGGCCTAATATGGCTCGCTATGGCCGCCAGAGCAGCTTCGCGGGGTCCTACGGCTTTCCCAGCACTAACAGCAACAGCAACAGCGTCGCGTGCAGCCGTCAGAACAGCCGCGTGGGAGAAAACGGGATTTTGAGTCCCCTAGAAGGGAAGAAATCCTTCGAGGCGGAAAAGAGGCATTCTGGAGAAGGAAGGAGGCTGCTGGAGGGTGAGCGAGCGTCCGTCTTTACCGGAGATATGATCGAGGAGGAGAGGAGTTCAGGCGGTGTCACCAGGATAGACAGCATCAGGAGGGAGCAGCAAAATAAAATTGCGACGGAGATGGAGAAATTACTCTCGGAAGGGGACATAAATTACGGCAGCGCCCTTATAAACGCTCCGTCTCGACCTGTGGGCGCTGACAACGAGGGGAAGGAAGGATGCGACGACCGTCCATCCAGTCACCTGCTGGCCAGTCTCTCACATGACTCCGTCGGGGATGAAAAGACACACAAGGAAAACATCCCTACACTCCAGGCGGACTTTGCCACAGAAAACAGTGATCCAGAGACAGACGGCATTCCAGAGACGATGAAAAGTGTACAATTTTGCGAGCGGCCGTCTACAAAAGTCAGCATAGTGTGAACACCTCCCCTGAGGGGATGAAACGTTTGGGCATTACCTCTTGTATTTTTCATTTATGCTGATCCCTCAGAAGCTGTCATTGTTGCTCTACTCGTATGAGGTGTAATAAATTTTATTTCAAGTTACTGTATCCTCCAGTACTCGCATGTATGGCAGTGTTTATGCTCTTTAGGGTAGATAATAAAGAGATCAAGTGGAGCATGTTTGTATCTAAATATCTGGTTCTTATGTATATTTAAAACAATTCCCAGTATACTTATATGTACACATTTACTCTGGAATTCCTTAAAGATGTAAATATATTGTATAAAATGTAACGTTTAATTCTCTTATCACTACTGTGTACCACAACACATTTCTCTGTTATATATATATATATATATATATATATATATATATATATATATATATATATATATATATATATATATATATATATATATTGTCTTATGTGATGTAATGTTGTATTATTAATTCCTACGTGACAATACATAGTTGTGATACAGTTTCTGTGTTGTTAAAGTCAGTACTGATTGGTTAGTGTTGTGTCTGTACGTTTGTTAGCATTAAGGGAGAGACAGTCAGTAAGAGACAGACAGAAAGAGACAGACGACAGACAGACATAGTGAGAAAAACTGACAAATCTCAAAATGAATGAATTCGTCAGTATACAACCACAAGTCATGAAAATATATATCATTTATACATTCATTATACAATCGCAATTCATACATCATTTAGAAATGGTTTTGCCGTAATTCCATGTCCATTTAATATATATATATATATATATATATATATATATATATATATATATATATATATATATATATATATATATATATATATATATATATATATATATATATATATTTATGGTAGTGTAGTTTATGAATGAGTATAATTACCTAAATGTAGTTACAGGATGAGAGCTACGCTCGTGGTGTCCCGTCTTCCCAGTACTCTTTATCATCTGTCTTTATCAACCCTATCAATTCCACTGAGAATCTTGTATGTGGTGATCATGTTCCCCTCTAACTCTTCCGTCCCCAAGTTTCAGGGTTTATGTGTGTGTGTTGTGGAGGGACGGGTGTTCCGTCGCAGGTTAACAAGAGCAGCTGGGTTTAGTGGTTGTGCTGAGGCCTGGGCAGCTGCCGGGGGGCATTCGTCGCCCATGTCTGACACCGGAGACAACATCCAAATGGGGTGCTTTAAGAGCAATGGCCCAAGGTGTCTCAAGACACACACACACACACACACAGTTTCAAAGCGTTATATGACAAAAGAGTGCTGGGAAGACGGGACACCACGAGCGTAGCTCTCATCCTGGAACTACACTTAGGTAATTACACACACACACACACACACACACACACACCTCAGAGTAGTAAACAAATGGAATGCACTAGGAAGTGATGTGGTGGAGACTTGACTCCATACACAGCTTCAAGTGTAGATATGATAGAGCCCAGTAGGCTCAGGAACCTGTACACCTGTTGATTGACAGTTGAGAGGCAGGACCAAAGTACAACTAGGTAAGTACACACACACACCACCCAATCCCCCCTCCCCCCTTACCCCAAGTACCCCCTACCTTCCCATCTCCTAGTCTTCTTCCTGCCCCAAGCAGGCCGAGGCAAGCTCTAAGTCCTCCATCCCCCCACCCCCACCTCCCTCCAAACCCCTGTTAACTACACCACAGGAGGACGAGCTATCACCCCGAGCATTCCCTGCCCCTTCACCCCTAGGAATTCTTCCTGTCCCAAGCAGGGCTGGGTAAGATCAAGACCAGCTTGAGTCGACCTAATATTCACCTTGAATAATTCAGAAATAAGGGAAGTCAAATTTGAAGCCCCCCATAGGAATGAGTGACCACAGTGTATTGACATTTGAGTATCTGCTAGAAGTAGGGATAACCTATCCAAGGATGGGATTGGAAGGGAAAAGACTAAAAGGCTGTTACAAAAGTTGGAGTAACAGGCAGGAGTAAAAGGTAAGGTGCTCCAGTGGATAAGGGAGTATCTAAGCAACAGGAAACAGCAGAGTAACTGTGAGGGGAGAGACATCAGATTGGCGAGATGTCACCAGCGGAGTCCCACAGGGCTCTGTACTTGGACCCAATCTGTTTCTAATATATATATTATAAACGATCTTCCAGAGGGTATAGACTCATTCCTCTCAATGTTTGCTGATGATGTAAAAATTATGAGAAGAATCAAAACAGATGAAAACAGACAGAGACTACAGGACGATCTGGACAAACTGGAGGAGTGGTCTAGAAAATGGATACTAAAGTTCAACTCGGGAAATTGTAAAGTAGTATAATTAGGCGATAGGAGCAGAAGGCTGAACACAATGTACCATCTGGGAGGTGAAATCCTGCAAGAGTCAAATAGAGAGAAAGATCTGGGGGTTGGTATCACACCGAACCTGTCTCCGGAGGCCCACATCAAAAGGATATCATCAGCGGCATATGCTAGATTGGCCAACATAAGAATCGCCTTTAGAAACTTGTGTAAGGAATCGTTCAGGACCTTGTATACCACTTATGTCAGACTAATCCTGGAGTATGCAGCGCTAGCCTGGAGTCCATACCTAGTTAAACACAAGACAAAGAGAAGATCCAGAGGAATGCCACCAGACTAGTCCCGGAACTGAGAGGTATGAGCTACAAGGAAAGGCTAAAGGAGCTGAGCCTCACATCCCTGAAAAACAGAAAACTAAGGGGAGACATGATAACAACCTACAAAATTCTCAGAGGTATTGACAGGGTGTACAATGACAAACTCTTCAGCACGGGTGGAACACGAACAAGGGGACACAGGTGGAAACTTAGTACCCAAATGAGGCACAGGGACGTTAGAAAGAATTTTTTTCAGTGTCAGAGTAGTTAACAAATGGAATGCATTAGGCAGTGATGTGGTGGAGGCTGACTCCATACACAGTTTCAAATGTAGATATGATAGAGCCCAATAGGCTCGGGAATCTGTACACCAGTTGATTGACAGTTGAGAGGCGGGACCAAAGAGCCGAAGCTCAACCCCTCAAACACAATCAACTGAGAACACCTCTCTCACCTGACTGTCTCATCTCCCTCAGCTGAGAAATGTCACCTTTCTCAGAGGTGAAAGGTTGTTGTTGTTTCAGATTTAGCTACTCAGAACGAAGTGTCCATGTAGCACGGGCTATGGCGAGCCCGTAGAGGTGAAATGAGCCATTCGCACTGAACTAGTGGTGGTGGTAAGTCAGGGCTTGAGAGGAGGCCCTGGACCTCTCCAGCACATCAAGGTAACCACCCACACAAACACCACCCTAACTCTTATCTCCATATTTATGACGGAGGTTATAAGCTTCCCTTCCCCCTCTCTTCTGGTCCCTCGCTATCTCTCTTTCTCACCTGTCCCTTCCCATCTTCCTTCCTCCACTGTTTCTCCTCGTCCCCTCATTCCCCTCACTTTGGTAAGTAAACACCAGATTTACCCTTATTTTAAAATGCTTGCTTTATATATATATATATATATATATATATATATATATATATATATATATATATATATATATATATATATATATATGTGTGTGTGTGTGTGTGTGTACTCACCTATTTGTGCTTGCGGGGGTTGAGCGTTGGCGCTTTGGTCCCGCCTCTCAACTGTCAATCAACTGGTGTACAGATTCCAGAGCCTATTGGGCTCTATCATATCTACATTTGAAACTGTGTATGGAGTCAACCTCCACCACATCACTGCCTAATGCATTCCACCTGTTAACTACTCTGACACTGAAAGTTTTTCTAACGTCCCTGTGGCTCATATCGGTTCTCAGTTTCCACCTGTGTCCTTGGTTCGCGTACCACCCGTGTTAAACAGTTTATCCTTATCTACCCTGTCAATTCCCCTGAGGATTTTGTAGGTAGTGATCATGTCTCCCCTTATATTGTCTTCCATTGTCGTGGGGTGCATTTCCCGCAGACTTTCCTAGTAACTCATGCCTCTTAGTCCTGGGAATAGTCTAGTGGCATACCTCTGAACTTTTTCCAGCATCGTCTTGTGCTTGACAAGGTTCGAGCTCCATGCTGGGGCCGCATACTCCAGGATTGGTCTTGCATATGTGGTATACAAGGTTCTGAATGATTCCTTACACAGGTTCCTGAAGGCAGTTCTGATGCCTTCTGTTGTGTGTGTGTGAATATCTTTTGGTGTATGTGCTTGTTCCTACCTTACAGTGTGTGTGTGTGTGTGTGTGTGTGTGTGTGTGTGTGTGTGTGTGTGTGTGTGTGTGTGTGTGTGTGTGTGTGTGTGTGTGTGTGTGTGTGTGTGTGTGTGTGTGTGTGTGTGTGTGTGTGTGTGCAGGAAAGGGCTTCAGCTCCTGGGCCCCGCGTTGCCAAGCACAGGTCATATAAATGTACTGTTTTCCCCCCTGGGCTACTTTGCTTCTTATTAAATCTACTTCTGAAACTACGGTTCCAGTTTTAGAAGCAAATTTAACAAGAAACTGCAGCCGTCGACGGCAGTAATTATGTGGTCAATGGCTGTAAGCCACATAATTATCTTCTTCCACTTCATATTCCACTTGCTTACTGGCTTAACACTTGTGTTTCCTCGCATGTCTAGCTTCCATGCATATATTAATGGAAGCTAGACATTCAAGGAATGTCCCTTTCGTATATTTACAGATATTCCTGAGTATTTTGTACGTCTGGATCACCCCCACTCCCATTCTTGTTTCTTAAAGGTGTCATTAATGTCAGTTCTTTCAGACTGTGATCGTATCTCAATCCCCTCAGTCTATCACCGTAGCTCAATCTTCCCCTACCCCCCTCCAGTCACTGTAGACAAATCCCCTCAGTCTTTCACCGTAGCTCAGTCCCTTCACATGTTGGATATTAGACTTGAAACAAACCTCTGTATGCACTCAATGTCAGTTTTCAGCTTTTCATGATAGGGACGGGCGCTGGGGCTCCGGCAACAATAATCAACGTTTGTGCCCATTCAGACCCTGATATCATCAATGAGGGATTACGGGTTATTCATGCCCGTACCACCTCTTGGATGGCATCAATGAAGGGGGAGGGGGAAATGGGTTATCCAATCTAAATTGAGCGAGCATTCACCAATCACCGCCCGTATCACAGCTACCAATCCCCAACACGTACCTATTCGTACAGGGGTTACGTACCAACACGTACCTCTATGGTTCACGCAACGGCATGTAGGTAACTTTGCATATATACAAACGTATCCATGAAGACCATGAACCAGTATGACTACACTTATCTTAATAGTATTCCCAACCCATATAGTGTATTCTTGTATGA